GTTGTATATCAAAAAAATCAATGGATTATGAAAAAATGGTTAAATTTGCTAAATCTTAACAAATAACTTTCCCGTTTTATTGTTAATTGTACAAAAACAAACTTACCTTTGTACGTATTTGAGGTTGCCTGTACCAAGTAATAGTGGGTGGCGGCAGCAATGCGAAACTATTTACAAAATTTCTTATGGGGGAAAACACTGAAACACTTAATTACACATTTCTTTAACATTTTCACTTAATTAACACTGTTTTCAAAATAATTATTAAAAAACAAAATTTTTTACTTGCGACCGCTTAGTTTAAAGATTAATGGAGAACTAACCAAAAAAGAAGAAGACATATGAAAAGAAAACCTTAAATAAAAAAGTATTTTCTATTCATTTAATAGCCTCCTTAAGCTATGCTTAGAATTTGTCGACTTTGTATTTTAAGCAGATATTGGCAAATGGCAATAATTAGTTACCAAGAAAAAATCTACTCTAGTAGTTAAATAACGTATATGTATATGTTAATGCAGATTTTAACATCCATTTAACAGTTCTACTTAGATAACGGTAATCATGTAAATTCTTTAAATATGGTTAGTAAAGTAAAATTATTAATTATATAATAAAGTATTAAAAAGCACAAAATTATCATTAAACCAGCCTTAATGTAGGCTACATTATTTGTTTTTATAAATAAAATATAGTTTTGTCTCCAACTATAATAACATTGCGAATATAATGTCTTTTATCGTTCGGAAATGCCCAACTAAAAACGCATAAACCTTAGCATACCTTAAGGATATTAAAAATTAAACTTTTTGACATTAAATTAAGTATTTTGACATTTTAACTATTCCCTTTTATTTGCATTTTCTACTTTTTATTAGTTTTCTCTTAACCATTAAACGAAGCGGCTGCAAATTTGTAAAATTTTATAAAGACGCAAGTGAAAATTATGTTTTTCATAATAATTTATTAAAAATTAAAGTAATTTAAAGTATTAGTTAAGTGATTAACAATTGAAAATAACAAAAAAGTGTTAAAGTGTATTTTTGAAGAAATTTCTAAATGATGCCGGCAACCTCCATCACCATCTTGTGAAGTAACCAATTATAATATAAGGAACAACAAGTAAGAATGTTATGAATATTAAATGCGATTTTGTCTTAAGTATTATTATTGTTGCACTTTCTTTACGACTGTTTTTGTTGTTATATTTATACAGCATTGTTATTGTTTCAAAGGTTTTGTATTTGATCAGGCCATCTTATTTTGTTGTTGGTTATTGTTGTTTATGAAATGTATTTGTGCGTGTTTTGTTGTGTTATTGTAAGGTCATAGTTTTTGCATTTTGCTTTAAAGGCAGTTGATGATGTTTTTTTACTTTCTGAGTGTTGGCGTTGTTTTTGTTATTGGCATCATGGATTTGATGTTGTTGTTGCATTTTAATGTTGTTTGAGAGTTTCTATGATTATTGTTGCAACTAACTAACTAACTAACTACTAACTAACTAACTAACTAACTAACTAACTAACTAACTAACTAACTAACTAACTAACTAACTAACTAACTAACTAACTAACTAACTAACTAACTAACTAACTAACTAACTAACTAACTACTAACTAACTACTAACTAACTAACTAACTAACTAACTACTAACTAACTAACTAACTAACTAACTAACTAACTAACTAACTAACTAACTAACTAACTAACTAACTAACTAACTAACTAACTAACTAACTAACTAACTAACTAACTAACTAACTACTAACTAACTAACTAACTAACTAACTAACTAACTAACTAACTAACTAACTAACTAACTAACTAACTAACTAACTAACTAACTAACTACTAACTAACTAACTAACTAACTAACTAACTAACTAACTAACTAACTAACTAACTAACTAACTAACTAACTACTAACTAACTAACTAACTAACTAACTAACTACTAACTAACTAACTAACTAACTAACTAACTAACTAACTAACTAACTAACTAACTAACTAACTAACTAACTAACTAACTACTAACTAACTAACTAACTAACTAACTAACTAACTAACTAACTAACTAACTAACTAACTAACTAACTAACTAACTAACTAACTAACTACTAACTAACTAACTAACTAACTAACTAACTAACTAACTAACTAACTAACTAACTAACTAACTACTAACTAACTAACTAACTAACTAACTAACTAACTAACTAACTAACTAACTAACTAACTAACTAACTAACTAACTAACTAACTAACTAACTAACTAACTAACTAACTAACTAACTAACTAACTAACTAACTAACTAACTAACTAACTAACTAACTAACTAACTAACTAACTAACTAACTAACTAACTAACTAACTAACTAACTAACTAACTAACTAACTAACTAACTAACTAACTAACTAACTAACTAACTACTAACTAACTAACTAACTAACTAACTAACTAACTAACTAACTAACTAACTAACTAACTAACTACTAACTAACTAACTAACTAACTAACTAACTAACTAACTAACTAACTAACTAACTAACTAACTAACTAACTAACTAACTAACTAACTAACTAACTAACTAACTAACTAACTAACTAACTAACTAACTAACTAACTAACTAACTAACTAACTAACTAACTAACTACTAACTAACTAACTAACTAACTAACTAACTAACTAACTAACTAACTAACTAACTAACTAACTAACTAACTAACTAACTAACTAACTAACTACTAACTAACTAACTAACTAACTAACTAACTAACTAACTAACTAACTAACTACTAACTAACTAACTAACTAACTAACTAACTAACTAACTAACTAACTAACTAACTAACTAACTAACTAACTAACTACTAACTAACTAACTAACTAACTAACTAACTAACTAACTAACTAACTAACTAACTAACTAACTAACTACTAACTAACTAACTAACTAACTAACTAACTAACTACTAACTAACTAACTAACTACTAACTAACTAACTAACTAACTAACTAACTAACTAACTACTAACTAACTAACTAACTAACTAACTAACTAACTAACTAACTAACTACTAACTAACTAACTAACTACTAACTAACTAACTAACTAACTAACTAACTAACTAACTAACTAACTAACTAACTAACTAACTAACTAACTAACTAACTAACTAACTAACTAACTAACTAACTAACTAACTAACTAACTAACTAACTAACTAACTAACTAACTACTAACTAACTAACTAACTAACTAACTAACTAACTAACTAACTAACTAACTAACTAACTAACTAACTAACTAACTAACTAACTAACTAACTAACTAACTAACTAACTAACTAACTAACTACTAACTAACTAACTAACTAACTAACTAACTAACTAACTAACTAACTAACTAACTAACTAACTAACTAACTAACTAACTAACTAACTAACTAACTAACTACTACTAACTAACTAACTAACTAACTAACTAACTAACTAACTAACTAACTAACTAACTAACTAACTAACTAACTAACTAACTAACTAACTAACTAACTAACTACTAACTAACTAACTAACTAACTAACTAACTAACTAACTAACTAACTAACTAACTAACTAACTAACTACTAACTAACTAACTAACTAACTAACTAACTAACTAACTAACTAACTAACTAACTACTAACTAACTAACTAACTAACTAACTAACTACTAACTAACTAACTAACTACTAACTAACTAACTAACTAACTAACTAACTAACTACTAACTACTAACTAACTAACTAACTAACTAACTAACTAACTAACTAACTAACTAACTAACTACTAACTAACTAACTAACTAACTAACTAACTAACTAACTAACTAACTAACTAACTAACTAACTAACTAACTAACTAACTAACTAACTAACTAACTAACTAACTAACTAACTAACTAACTAACTAACTAACTAACTAACTAACTAACTAACTAACTAACTAACTAACTAACTAACTAACTAACTAACTAACTAACTACTACTAACTAACTAACTAACTAACTAACTAACTAACTAACTAACTAACTAACTAACTAACTAACTAACTAACTAACTAACTAACTAACTAACTAACTAACTAACTAACTAACTAACTAACTAACTAACTAACTAACTAACTAACTAACTAACTAACTAACTAACTAACTACTAACTAACTAACTAACTAACTAACTAACTAACTAACTAACTAACTAACTAACTAACTAACTAACTAACTAACTAGCTAACTAACTAACTAACTGACTAACTAGCTAACTAACTAACTAACTAACTAGCTAACTAACTAACTAACTAACTAACTAACTAACTAACTAAATAATTTAAATTTAAAATTTTTGTGCGAAAAACGACTGTAGATCCTTAAAATTCGGTGCTACGTGCTTGTAAACGGTTGTGATGTTTTTGCATCTTGGAAGTTAAGCAATGTTCCGAGATTAGATAGAACTAGTACTACAACAATGTGCGGAACCATGCACAAAAATTGCCAATTGTGTAAGAAGCACAATGGGGCGGTAGTGAGTCCAATCAGCTCACCCTGTGGTTGAAATATTACCACCGTGAAATAAGGCCAACACGGCAGGTGTTTCCGTAAAGCACTTCGACTTCTTGTACTATAAACTTGATCCATAAACAGTGGTCCTTTGAGAAAACAAATTGTGACTAATAACTGCAAAATCTTATTTTTTTTTTATTTATTTGACTATTTACTTAATAAATTAATACATTAATTTAATACTTATTTATAAAAGGTTATCATTTATACAGAATAATTAATATTAATTACAAGAACAAAAAAAAAACCTAAAGTTGTAATAAAAAAAAGAAAAGGGAGATAAAAAGAAAATTTAAAGAATATAAAAAATCACATATGAACTTACAAAGATTGTTTAAAAAATATATAATTTAAATTTTTAATAAGGAAATTTAATATTTCAGACATCATTAGGAACACATTACAGACATAAACTTACTACATACGCAGACATTAATTTAAGATAATTAATAGAAAAAGAAAAATTTTCTCATAAACAATTTTCATTTAACTACATACTTACATACTCATACGTATATATTCGTAATTTGGCAAATATTGCAAATTATATATAAATTTATTATTAACTTAATCAACCTTAAGGAATTGGAAAAAAGAAAGATTGCAGAGATAAATTTTCTTTCCTTAATATGGTTTCAAATTACAAATTTAAATTTCTTTGCTTTTCTTGACTGTAATGAATCAGTGTAAACATTTTCAATAATTTTATATCCTTTTTATCCTCGACTGTGGTTGACTTGTAAGTTGCGGGGTTGATGTTGTTGTGGCTGTTGCTGCTGCAGTTGGAGATTTTGTAGTTGAGAGTCCTCATAACTTCCGCTTGAGTGAATGCTTTCGTCTCTTCTTTCATTGCACGTGTTGGTTGTTGTAGTGTTGATGAGGTGGTGGTGGTGCTGCTGGTGTTGATGTTGTGACAGCTGTACTGTTGAAATGTTGTTCCCTGTTGCTGTTGTTGATAGTCTTCCTGAGTTTGCTGTTGTGTGGCTGTAGACTCCCGTAGTATGGTTGCCATGTGTAAGCGCTGCTGTATGGACTTCCGCATGTGGGGTAGGCTGTGTGGGGGCTGTGCTGCTGGGCGGCTGCTGATGTCGGCTGACTGGTCGTGTCTTTAAAATACTTAAATCATTAACATTTTCTAAAAAACTTTTATGAGCTGACAATTGTTTCACACTTTCAACATCCTTTTTGAGTTCCTCCATGTCCCGCTTTAGTTTGGCACGTCTGTTCTGGAACCATGTAATCACCTGCAGAATTTGTATCATATCATTGGCATTGTCATGTGTGTACATAGGAGAAATGAATAATAAAAATTTGTATTTTTGTTTTTGTACGAAATTGTTGACTGTATTTACCTGCGCATTTGAGAGTCCTAGACCGGCGGCAATTTCATCTCTATCTGCCGGCGATAGGTATTTTTGATAGAGGAATCGTTTTTCCAGCTCAAATATCTGATGATTAGTGAATGCTGTTCGACTTTTGCGTTTCTTTTTGGGATTCGGTCGTGTGGCAAAAATGTTTAAGGTGGCAGGATCTAAAATAAAGAAAAATATCAGATTAAAATGAGTTTAGAATCGTAAAAAGCTTAAAAAGTAATTCATTTGGATACATATATCGACTATTTTTCTTTTATTCCTATGAGTCTTAATTTTGGATGGAAGACATACATATATCAATCCTTAGATCTTGTCCATGGACTACTTAATACGTTAGTCCAGCTTATTGGCTAGAGAATATGTTTGTCCATAGACTAGAAAATAGGTTAGCCCATAGACTACACAATATCCCATAGACTAGACAATATCCTAGTGCATTAACCAGACAATAGGCAAATCCATAAACTAAACAATAGGTGTTAGACCATGACTATACAACTGGCTAGTCCATAGATTAGTTCAATAGATAGGGGCAAACAATATCATTGACCTGATTAGTCTTTTGACTAGTCACTAAGATAAAGCCTAGACTAATCTATAGACTGGTCAGTAGACTAATCGTAGACAAACCAGTTTAGTTAAAATATTGAATTTTCATGCTTGATCCAGCTTTAGCTTAAGATATCTTGAGATGTTATAACGCTTCAAATATTTCAAACTTTAGGACACTATGGGCCAATATCTCAACCTCCGGTTATCGTTTAAAATAATTTTTGTATGTAAAATGTCAATTTATCGTTATGATAAAACATAATCAGACAATGAGAAAATGGGGGTATATCTGCTAGATTTGGACCCAGCGTAGCCCAATCTTTTAGAAAAGTAAACTTTGGTTTGTGTGTTAAAAACTTGTTGTATAACTGTGTAATTTATAGGTCCACTTTTCCATCCAATATCAAATAAAATGAGCAAGGACCAACAGGATCTAGAAATCCAAAAAACTTATTTACTCTACACAGAGGGAAAATATACACGCCTAGTACTAAATTGACACCAAAGAGTTTATAATTTTTCAATAACATCCGTTGTCAAAGTATATACATACGTACGACAACGCAATGTTGTCAACATTGCAACAATTCGTTGTCGAATTCTAAATTTTATACACATCACATGTAATGTCAACATTTCATAGTGTTGTCATACGTATGTATATACTTTGACAACGGATGGTATTGAAAAAATATAAACAGTTTGGTGTCAATTTGGTACCAGGCGTGTATATTTCATTTTCCCTCTGTGTAGAATTATGGAAATCATTTCATTATCCCTGTTGCAGTTTTACACAAAAAATGTCTTCAACGTTGGAAGTCATCCATCTACATATAAGTGTGAGTGTTTGTTTTCAAAAATTCCAGTTTGTGATCCCTTCTATTCTCTCTTCTCTCCCTTCAATTAATTGCTCAGTATTTATATAATTCGTTTGTATGTATGTTTGTTTGCTTTCGTATGTAAACATTGAGGTCGTTTTTCATGTTTTCGGGTGTTCGCTTAATGTTTGTTGTTTGTTTAATACATGGCTTGTACATAATCATACCTACAAATATACATATAATATATTTTATTGATAACATTACTTGCTTCGATGCCTTTGGACAATAATGGCGTGCGTAATTTTTGTTGTTGAATGAGTAAGTGTGTGTTTGTGTAAATGTTTGTTATTATTTCTTTATTTTCTTAAACAGCTGCGTGTTTGTTTTATATATAAAAAAATACATGTCTGTCGTATTGATCGTAGGCAACCACTAACTAACTGGTCTTTGGTAAATGTCCTCCTTCCTGAATAGTTGTTTAAAAACAACGACAATTTGTTAGGTACTATGTTGTTTGTTTCTTTTTTTTGAGGTTTTCAAAATAATTTATCTTAACGCGCTTTTGTGGATAATTTTTGATGTATTTCTTTACTTTTTTTATAACCTTCATTAATGATGACACTATGGCAGAATAATTGATAATACCCTTTTGTTGTTTTAAGCTATTAATTTTTAAATAAACTTCTTGTATTGCCTTTATTTAAGGGAAATTTAATGAAAGGTTGTTGTTTTAAAACATACAAGAAATACTTAAGGGTTTTATTAAATATGCTCAAATTATACAATTATAACAAGATTAAAAAAAACGCAGCCATTTTTAAAACTTAACTAAAAATTTGGCTTTATAAAAATGAAACTTTTAAAACAAATAAAAAGTCTTTAAAATGCGGCTTGTATTTGAAGTTTTTTGAATATTTTTATTAAATAAATAATATTCTTGTAAGTACTTTAAGTGTTAACTATGCTAAATTCTTCTTTATTACTTAGCTTTAGCCAACCCTTTTTTCTATTTTGAGGCAAAAAAGGAGAACATGTATAATATTTTATGTAAATTTAAATACAACACAAAAACTTTTCAATTAATTAAAATTAATTTAACTCAAACACGCACATTCAAATCATATAAATTCATTTTAATAGTACTCAGTTATTTTACATGATTTTGTGAATGAATTTGAAATAAATGGTTTGTTTTAAGATGTGAGGGTTAGGCTTAAAATGAAGTTCATTATTTTTAAAACTTTATTTTGAAAGATTAACTTCTGACTAGACTATAGACTAGACTATAGTCTAGACTATAGACTAGACTATATAGACTAGACTATAGACTAGACTATAGACTGGACTATAGACTGGACTATAGACTAGACTATAGACTAGACTATAGACTAGACTATAGACTACACTATAGACTAGACTATAGACTGGACTATAGACTAGACTATAGACTAGACTATAGACTAGACTATAGACTAGACTATAGACTAGACTATAGACTACACTATAGACTACACTATAGACTACACTATAGACTACACTATAGACTAGACTATAGACAAGACTATAGACTGGACTATAGACTAGACTATAGACTGGACTATAGACTAGACTATAGACTAGACTATAGACTAGACTATAGACTAGACTATAGACTAGACTATAGACTAGACTATAGACTGGACTATAGACTGGACTATAGACTAGACTATAGACTAGACTATAGACTAGACTATAGACTAGACTATAGACTAGACTATAGACTAGACTATAGACTAGACTATGGACTAGACTATAGACTAGACTAGACTAGACTAGACTATAGACTAGACTATAGACTAGACTATAGACTAGACTATAGACTAGACTATATAGACTAGACTATAGACTAGACTATAGACTAGACTATAGACTAGACTATAGACTAGACTATAGACTAGACTATAGACTAGACTATAGACTAGACTATAGACTAGACTATAGACTAGACTATAGACTAGACTATAGACTAGACTATAGACTAGACTATAGACTAGACTATAGACTAGACTATAGACTAGACTATAGACTAGACTATAGACTAGACTATAGACTAGACTATAGACTAGACTATAGACTAGACTATAGACTAGACTATAGACTAGACTATAGACTAGACTATAGACTAGACTATAGACTAGACTATAGACTAGACTATAGACTAGACTATAGACTAGACTATAGACTAGACTATAGACTAGACTATAGACTAGACTATAGACTAGACTATAGACTAGACTATAGACTAGACTATAGACTAGACTATAGACTAGACTACTATAGACTAGACTATAGACTAGACTATAGACTAGACTATAGACTAGACTATAGACTAGACTATAGACTAGACTATAGACTAGACTATAGACTAGACTATAGACTAGACTATAGACTAGACTATAGACTAGACTATAGACTAGACTATAGACTAGACTATACTAGACTATAGACTAGACTATAGACTAGACTATAGACTAGACTATAGACTAGACTATAGACTAGACTATAGACTAGACTATAGACTAGACTATAGACTAGACTATAGACTAGACTATAGACTAGACTATAGACTAGACTATAGACTAGACTATAGACTAGACTATAGACTAGACTATAGACTAGACTATAGACTAGACTATAGACTAGACTATAGACTAGACTATAGACTAGACTATAGACTAGACTATAGACTAGACTATAGACTAGACTATAGACTAGACTATAGACTAGACTATAGACTAGACTATAGACTAGACTATAGACTAGACTATAGACTAGACTATAGACTAGACTATAGACTATAGACTAGACTATAGACTAGACTATAGACTAGACTATAGACTAGACTATAGACTAGACTATAGACTAGACTATAGACTAGACTATAGACTAGACTATAGACTAGACTATAGACTAGACTATAGACTAGACTATAGACTAGACTATAGACTAGACTATAGACTAGACTATAGACTAGACTATAGACTAGACTATAGACTAGACTATAGACTAGACTATAGACGAGACTATAGGACTAGACATAGACTAGACTATAGACTAGACTATAGACTAGACTATAGACTAGACTATAGACTAGACTATAGACTAGACTATAGACTAGACTATAGACTAGACTATAGACTAGACATAGCTACTATAGACTAGACTATAGACTAGACTATAGACTAGACTATAGACTAGACTATATACTAGATTATAGACTAGACTAGATTATAGACTAGAATATAGACTGGACCTTAGACTAGACTATAGACTGGTATTATAGACTAGACTATACTATAGACCACACTATAAAATACACTCTAGGCTTCACTATAGACTAGCCTATAGACTATACTATCGTCGAGCCTATAGAGATATAGGCTACACTTATAGTCTAGACTGTAAAAGTTTATAAGTGAGAAAAAGCACCGATTAAGTTGTGGGGGTGCCACGGTAATTTTGATATCAAAAAGTCCTGATAAAAGTACTTAAGTACCCACTGAATTATCCACGCGTGGTCCAAATTTTAAAACAATGGAACCCACACATCGTAAATTATACATTTCATAATATTTACAACATTTTTCAAACAAACCCATTAATTTGCGAGATATTATTTATCTTAGTTTGTAACACTTAAGCATTTTTTAATTTCATTTATAAACTATCAATATCAACACTTTTCGTTTTAAATCTTAAATGCTAATATTAAACTATTTCCGTTTGGCTTTATATCTATTTTTCAA